TTTTGAACATTTAAGGCATTACTTACATAATTTCTAATGCTTTTTAAGTAATTTTCCTTACTCTAAGAACCATTGACGAGAGAACAATATTTCATAGATCAAATTGATGATTCACCCAAATGTCGTCCGTATCTGTTTCTCTTAATGAAGACGACCACGAACTTGTCCAGGAACGACCGAAATATGCGATTCATGTAGTCCATGAAAACCGCTGGTGCGTTCGTTACACCGAACGACATCACTACATACTCGTAGTGTCCGTAACGAGACCGGAAGGCTGTCTTCTGGACGTCCCCTTCCTTAACCCGGATTTGATGGTATCCCGATCGCAAATCAATCTTTGAAAATACGGTCGCACCGTGTAGTTGATCCAGTAGGTCGTCAATCCTAGGCAGAAGGTACTTGTTCTTGATGGTCAGCTTGTTCAACTGCCTGTAATCAATGCAAAGACGAGAGTTGCCATCCTTCTTTTTCACTAAGAGAATACGCTCCCCAAGGTGATGCGCTCGGTCTGATGAACTGCTTATCCATCAAATCTTCAATCTGCTTTTTGAGTTCAGCTAACTCTGCTGGCGACATACGGTAGGGTGCAATAGAGATGGGTCCCGCGGTCGACACCAAGTCGATCGTAAATTCTACCTCGCGTGGAGGAGGTAGTCCAGGCACTTCATCCGAAAATACGTCCGGGAAGTCATCCACGACCGATCGTCCTCCATTCAGTTTACCGGACGATCGTTCATGACTTGATCCCTCAAACCCTTCGTCCGCATGCGTCACGATCAGAAAACAACTGGCGCCATCCACGATGTCTTCCCTTAGCTGACCGAGCGTTACTGATAACTCTTCTTCTTCTTCATCCGGAAACACCAATTGCTTCGCGCCACAGTCTATGAGAATGTGATTGGCGGCCAGCCAATCCATTCCTAAAATCACTTCTAAATCCCTTAGAGGTAAACAGATGAGATTCACTTTATATCTACGCCCCTCAACCTCTATAGGACATCTAACACAGACTGTAGACGTCCTAACCTCACCAGCCGCTGGGGTTGACACCACCAAGTCGAACTGCATCTCGCTCTTGGCTAACCCCAATTTCTTAATGCACGCCTTCGAAATGAAGGAGTGTGTCGCCCCCGAATCATACAACACACAACA